CCCGGGGAGCTGGTCTCGTGCTCGGCCCTGTCCCCGGCCCCCGCGGGCGCCACCCGGCCTCCTCGCAGTGAGAGGGCCCTGCGCCCTGCCGCCCTCGCCTTTCCCGCCCACATGCGTACACCGACGCCTTGGAGAGGCCCCGGTGTGTGATCCAGTAACCCCTCCGACGGCCGAGGCCCCAGAGCACCGCGAGTACTTTGTGGTTTGTGAAACTTCTTTTTATAAAAAAATTATTTTGTTTAACTTTCTTCTTTCCTTCATTTTTAATTTGACCAAAGAGGGAAAGTGAGAAAGCAAGCTTCCAGATCCGGGACTCAAACCGCGGTTAGCCATATGGGAGGCCCTTAACCACTACGCCACCTGCTGGTCCCTGGGAAGTTCCTTTTAAGAATAAGTTGTTTGAAAACTCCACATGTGGATTTTGTGTCCCTGCTGGCCACAGGCCCGGTGTGGGCCCAAGTGCCAGGCTAGAAGGACAAGTTGTTGCCACGCACTTCTCTGGCACCTCGTAACTGCCTCCTCCCCACGGCATTAAACAAAACCTTGGTCTTGCGCCAAGTCAAATTCTAACTGTCCGTATGAGAGTTGCATCGTCATACTAAATCCGTACTGTATGGTGTTGGGTTGCTTTCAAACCTATCTTGAAGACAGAACTAGTTAGGGGGTGGCATGGAGCCCAGTTTCTCAGTGGAGGTGTCACTGAAGCCCCCAAAACCTCTCTTTGTCACCAGCGTTCTTGTGAAGTTTTTTTGATGGTCTTTGGTTTTCCCATAAAGTGATTTACAAACTTAACTTTAGAGCCTGTTTCCCCAAGTATGTTGGCCCTTACAGCCCCTCCTCTTCAGATACTGAAGTAGTTTCCAGAGTTGAAACTGAACGTTCAACAACGCGGTGTGTATCACTGCGAGTCCTGTGTGTTTTCTTAGCACGAGTCCTAGGGTTTGCAGGATTGTTTCCTGAAAGTGAGCAAGCCAGTTCCCAACGCCGTCAGCGAGTGCTCAGGCTGCCACGGTCTGCCTGCTGCGATTATTGGGAACTTCCTGGAGACTTGAAGAATCACAAAATTGGAGGGTCAGGGGACAGATGCCACTGTATCCCGAAAACATGGCATTACTTTTTGACTTATCCTTAGCATATTTAGAAATGTGACGCCTTTTAAAATGTTTAATTCTCTTTTTAGTTACCAGAGAGCACATACATTCACCCAAAAGAAAGAGAGAAGGCAAGGGGAATAGTACCTCCCCCTCGGTGGGGTGTGGTCCTGCATGTTGCAGTTTCCTCCCCACTTCTCCAGCCTGTTGGGATTTGGGGCATACTTGCACATAGGGACCATAAAGGAAAGATCTATTCCAGGTTCTTTCCTTGGCATGCAGGTGGCCAACCCTCCTGCTGCCTGTGCGTGTGGTCATCTTGCTTGCACTGCTAACTACTGAACTGACTTATGAAGAAATGAAAGACCTGAATAGTCCTTGCTATGAGCTGAATGGCATCTTCTGTATCCTATCTGTCCAATTCTCCTTTTTGAAAGAGAATTATTTATGTAATTTTATTTGTGATTTTAAAATTTTGTGTAGGACATGTGTGCTCACCAGAGAGAGAGAGAGAGAGAGAGAGAGCAACTTGAACCAGGACTTGAATCACAGTCAGCCATGTGGAAGTCCAATACCTTGACCACCACACCATCTGCTGACCTGCAATTCTTATATTGAAACCCTAACCCCCAGTACTTCCAAAAGTAACAGTTTGGAGTTAGATTATTTTTTATTTACTTACTTTTTCTGGAGAGGTTTTTGCTATAGGGCACATGCGCTTGCCAGAAAGACAGAGACAGAGAGACAAACAGTGAGAAATCACCCCCCATGGGGGATGGCCATGCCACAATCCCTTCTTTATTCTCCTCTCGGGATTTTGGGCACGTATGCACACACACCCAGCATGAGTTTAAGCCACTGGGTCTGAGACTCGAACCGCAATCAACCACATGGGAGTCCAGTGGCATAGCCATTACGCTAACTGTTGGTCCCTGGAGTTAGGTTCTTTAAAAAGGTAAGTAAGTTAAAATGAAATGATTGGAATGGGAAATTAATTCAGTATGACTGTCGTGCTGTTGAAGACAATGGAGGAAGAGGGAGGCATTGCCAGAGATGCATATGCAGAGAAAAGGCCGTGTGAAGACAGCATGAGAAGGCAGCTCTCTGCAAGTCAAGGAGAGCGGTCTCAGGAGAAATCACACCTGCCAATGCTTTGATCTTGGACGTCCATCCTCCAGAACTGCAAGAAAATAAACTTCCATTGTTCAAGCCTTTCAGTCTGTAGTTACTGGTTATGGCAGCCCTACTCAACTAGTACACCCTCCCCATAACCTAGCAGTGTAGTGACTTCAGGGAGCTAAAATGGAGTGTGTTCCCTCTCATTCCTCTCTTCTTCTTCCCATTCTGCATCCTTTGCCTACTCTCAAAGTTCGAGGAGGACTGGGGGAGGAGAGGGAGGGCTGTGCATCTTTATGAATTTGGCTTCTTCTGGTCTTCTCACTGCTGGTTGTTGCTGCTGTTCTGACCACTGATTGATAATGGTGTGAGACAGGTCTCCGAAGACCGACTGTTTTGTAGATTGTATGTATTGATTCCTTGAAGGACCTTCTGGTGCCTTTTCACTTTGTAGTTCACTGCATACTAAGAAAGAAAAAAGTAGCCCTTGATATCCAAGAACCGACCAGACCTCACAGATAGACCTCGATGTTATTGCCAATTAATCTGACGTGAACAGCTAGGCCTCCCGTGTCACTACAAACCCTTCTGATAGTGATAGCTAAGTGATGCTGTTCTGTTGGACATGAACTCACAGAATGGCCTTTTTTGATGTGGGCGCTGTGGCACTCACCAAATCCCAGGCCCTTGCCTTTTTCACTAAACAAGACTGCCTCTTCACCTGTCGCGGTGGATCTTGCTCAGAAGGTCGAGCATTGAGATACTCAGCGTGGAGTATTACGCAGCCTTGAAACAAAGGGAATCCAGTTATTTGTGACAAATGGATAGAACTGGAGGACATTATGCTAGGTGATACAAGCCAGGTACAGAAAGACAGGAATGATCTCACTTGTGTGTGAAATCTGAAAATGCCTAACTCGTTGAAGCAGAGAGTAGACTGGTAGCTAGAGGGGCTGGGTGTTGGTGAGAGAGATGGGAGATGTTGGCCGATTACACAAAATTCAGTTAGAAGAAGGAATTTGTTCAGAAGATCTGCTGTACAACATAGAGATCAGCGTTAACAATGCATCATATACTAGAAGGCTGCTTAGAGAGTAGATGTTATTATTCATTTTTTAGAGAGAAATATTTTGCCATATAGTGCATGCATTTGCTGGAGACACAGAGAAAGACACAGAGAGAAAGAGAGAAATCACCCCCTAGGGGGGATGGCCAAGCTGCAATCCCTTCTCCATTCTCCTCTCGGGATTTTGGGCACACATGCACACATGTCCGGCATGAGTTTCAAGCCACCAGGTCCCAGACTTGAACCATGGTTGGACTGAATCTTATAGATGACAAACGAGCTGTTGAAGGCAAGGGAAGAGCGAGATCAGGGGGTGTCAGTACAGGAGTAAGAGGGGGACTGGATCACAAAAGGGACAGACTCGTGGAAGCAATGTAACTTCTGCAGTGCGGGGCCGCCGTCAGACTAGGCAGCGCAGTCACGGGAATTACTGCGAGAACAAAGCACCCTTCTGGGCAGACACAGCAGAAGGTTCAAGACTGAGCAAGTGGCTCATGCCATGATGGGAAGGAAAAGATGCTGCTTCTTCCTGGGAGGTGGACCCTGCCTGTACAAAGATGCACGGCCTCACAGGCGAAGGGAGGTTAAATTACAGCCTCACTAGCTCCTTGGGCTACTCGGTGTCCTTGTGCAGAGAGGCACAGCCTCGTGCTGACACTGTGTCTGGCACAGACCTGGCTCTCAATTAAAATGTTTACTAGGGGGGATGGCCAAGCTGCAATCCCTTCTCCATTCTCCTCTCGGGATTTTGGGCACACATGCACACATGTCCGGCATGAGTTTCAAGCCACCAGGTCCCAGACTTGAACCATGGTTGGACTGAATCTTATAGATGACAAACGAGCTGTTGAAGGCAAGGGAAGAGCGAGATCAGGGGGTGTCAGTACAGGAGTAAGAGGGGGACTGGATCACAAAAGGGACAGACTCGTGGAAGCAATGTAACTTCTGCAGTGCGGGGCCGCCGTCAGACTAGGCAGCGCCGTCACGGGAATTACTGCGAGAACAAAGCACCCTTCTGGGCAGACACAGCAGAAGGTTCAAGACTGAGCAAGTGGCTCATGCCATGATGGGAAGGAAAAGATGCTGCTTCTTCCTGGGAGGTGGACCCTGCCTGTACAAAGATGCACGGCCTCACAGGCGAAGGGAGGTTAAATTACAGCCTCACTAGCTCCTTGGGCTACTCGGTGTCCTTGTGCAGAGAGGCACAGCCTCGTGCTGACACTGTGTCTG